ACACGCACACGCACACACACACACACACTCAGTCAGCTTTTACATGGATTTGTATACAAGGAGTTCATTACAATGGCAACAAGCGACTGCCTGGAGAGCTCCTTGCATTAAATGGATAGTTCACAGAAAAATAACAACGCTGGTTCGAGTGGAATTTCAGTGTCAGTGCTTCCGGACACTTGGATGACACCACACGAGCAGTATGGAGGCATTTTATGTTTTTTTTCTGTTGTTTTAATTTTGTTTGAAGACGTGGTCACCAATTACTTCAATTGTTTTGTATTCAGGTGCAACGCTGCTTACTCCTGAAACTCCAAAAGTGTTTTGTGGACTCAAACACTTCACCCACCCCTCCATCGGCTTAGTGGTGAGTAGATAATGAGTGCATTTTCATTTTGCGGTGAACTATCCCTTTGAGATATCACAAGAAGCTGCAGACGCTGTGACGTACCCTCCTGCTGGACACCTGCTCGTCTCGCACCAGGTCGTCTCCCCCGCCCCTCGGCAGGGAGGGCATCTCCCTCACCTCGCTCTTCCTCACCGTCCTTCTCCTCACTGTGTGGCTGAGGCGGGAAATAAGCCAAGTTCAGCTTCTTAAGTAGTATTTGTCTTTCTGTCTAAATTATGTAACTGGAACACTTTGCTTTTAAAATGCTAATCATTATTCAGTTTGTCTATGTACCTGTGTGTGTGTGTGTATGTTTGTGTGTGTGTGTGCGTGCGTGCATGTGTGAAAAGTCTTTCACGAAGTCACTCACCTCCCATTTGTTCAATTCCAGAATAAAAAATTTTTTTAGCTCAAACTTAGCACAACTCTTCAGCAAAAGAATGTAAGTCAGTGCAACAAGCCGTGCGCATTTGTTTGCGTTTGCACGTGTGCATGTTCATGTGGGAAGGTCACGCTGTGCATGTGTGTGTGGGCGCCAACCTGCGCGATGGCAGCGGTATCCTCATGAAGGTCTTGTACGTCCTCAGCTCTCTGTGCAGCTCCATGAAGTGTTTCTCCTTCCTCTTCACCACCCAGGTGAACTCGCCGTGCTTCAGCTCAATCTTAAACACGGCTGGCAGAGACTACACACAGACACACAACACGCAGGGGTGACGGCAAGCAGCGAGTTAGTGTGTGTACGTAATGTGGACATGTGTGGAGAATAGTGATGTTCAAACACAAAATTCATTCATTCAGAACATTTGACACATCATTAATATGAACATTCCATATTTTCCATCATAAAAACAACTCAGGAGAAGCATTTTAGCATTTAAAGAAAGGGTAGTAATATTTCTTTAAACTTTGCCAACACATTTATTTGCACTGTGACCAGTAAGAAAGAAAATATCAAAACAGTGTTCTTCTGATTGTATAGGCATGTGTGTGTGTGTGTGTGTGTGTGTGTGTGTGTGTGTGTGTGTGTGTGTGTGTGTGTGCAGTACCTTGTTGACGCTCCTCTGGTGCGACAGATTGAAGCGGTCCTGAGCGGTGGTGAATCTCTCCACCTCCAGGATCCGGGCAGTGATGGGCACAGTGGGCAGGTAAACCTTAGCGCTGGCCTCCTTAAAGCCCACAGTGGCATACACGGCTGAAAACGGGATACGACAGTCCCCTGGGAGGAGAGGAAGGAGGAGAGGTGGCTGGTTAGTGTGGTTTCTCTTGTTTGAGCATGTAGGAGTAGCTCTGGATGCTGAGGATGAGAGGAGGCTGCAACACAGAAGTTGGCCTATGTTGAAGATTTCTTTGCTTTTGTAGTTTGCAGCGTTAGCGTAAAACAAACACGCACACACACACACATACCTAAGTTTCCATCATAGTCGGTCTCCTCTCCTTCCCCCATATCCAGCTCTCTGGTGTCCAAGCTTTCCACTAGGTCAGCCATCTTGATACCGTCGTGTGCGTCTGCGGCCGCCGCGGTGTCACAAACTTCCAATTTTACAAGGTTGAGGCTGCTGGTCGTTGGCTGAGCTTTGCCCAGCATGCTTAGCAGTCAGCCCCTGGAGCAGGGCGCACCTAGAGGAGAGAGAGGGGTTTCTTTTGAAATCAAAAACTCATCATGATATTGTGAGGAGTCTAAACTTTTAACCTTCCAGTGATCCTACACTGAATACTGATCCTATCATGACCGGTTACACAAGACCTGGATCAGAGTCACAGAGAACCACAGGTATTCAGACTCTGACTATGATACAAAGACATGAAGACACAGTGGTTGACAAGGTTTCCAAAACTGCACTCAAAGTCAACTGATCACATTAACGTCACTTGTCCCCATCTCAGCTGACATTCAGTGAAGACAACACAGACCTGCCAGTCTTATCACAGGTGTGACAGACAGATGCAAACGATTCACACCTACATTTGTTGTCTGAAGCAATGAACCTATCCTGCATGTCGTGTCTCTGGACTGTGGGAGTGACAAATGACATGTAAGGTTTGAGCCCAGAGTCTCAGCACAGGTTTAATCTTGAAATACTAAGATCAGTGAGAAAGAATGAAAGAATATTTGGTCTTTTTAAAGAAGTTAGAATATTGTTTGTTCTGGGATTTATTTGATAAAGATCAAGGTCAGACCGTCAGAGGGTCAGAGACCTAAACCCTGGTGTGTGAGTCAATAATTTTCTGAGATGTTGCACTCGTGCTTGAGGTGCTGACTTTGAGATTTGAAAAGATGAACATGAGCAGCACATGAAACTCTGGCGTGGCCACTTTCTCAATGATGACTGAGTCACATTCTTCTATTCCATTACATGTTGTGCTTCCTTCTCATGCCCAGTTACCCTATCTACCCTTCCAACCCACGTGTGCAGGTAAATTACACTGGAATGTAATTTCATAATAAATCACAAGTGAGTCATTATTGTGACATAAACAGTCTGACTAGACAGTCCTGTTCATCATAACTAATGCATCCAAAGCAGATATATAATCATGAATTTAGAGGAAAAAAGATGTTGATTACGACACCTTAAAGAATGACTCCTTAGTTTCTGAGCACAATGTTTGGGAGTCATTTCCATGGGAGTGCAAGTTGGTGATGAAGCAATGTTGGCGATTTGCTGTGTAAGGCGCCACCCTGCTGAGTTAGACACATGCAAGCAGCCATTATACCCCTATATGAGTTAATACGTTCACCTACACCTGTGTCATCACGCTGCACTAACATAGCACCAGTTCACACTAAATACAGTAGACTGCTTTAGTTTCACTTTTACCTCACCAACTGACAACATGTGTATTTGTATTAATAAATAACAATCTCAAAAACCTGTATGACAGGAATTTAATCCAACTTTAGCTTCGCCCTGAGTGTAAAATCCTGCATCACTGAGACCGGGCACAGACAAGGTGTGGAACAGTAACACACAGTAATCTGCAGTTCATGTCTTTCTAGTCACAGGGTTTAACAAAGGGGAAAAACATCTTCATACAATACAACCAAGTACTGAGCTTAGTCGTCCAAGTCGACCCATGCTCACAAACCTCCTCTGTAGGAAAAAGAGACTCAGGAGGAGACAGGAAAGATGAGACAGGGAAGCTGCCGTACATCACCATGGATCCATTTTCTGCACTCTGTCATCTTGACTTTTACTTTTCCTCTCTGCTGTACTGATGGAGGGGTGGGGGAAGTGTTTGAGTTCAGGGTAAACAGTGTTGCAGCCAAATCCAATTTTTTTTATTGTTTCCAATTAACATTAGTTTGGGGCTACAGCTCCACA